TTCTTTTCATACACACACTTTTGCTCTCTACTGGCTACTAGTGGTTATGAAAAATCACTGCTCCTGAGCCTTTTTGCTCTCTACTGCCCTTCTGCCCCTTTTGGTTGTGGATAGTCACTGCACCCAAGTACTTTTTGCTCTCTACTGCCCCTACTGCTTTTGGACAGTCACTGCACCCAAGAACTTTTTTGCACTCTACTGCCAACTACTGTCTTTGCCCATTCACTGCCCCAAGCTACTATAACTACAAATGAAGATAATGACAGTTTATCTAATGAAGGAGAAATAAATAGTGCCTTCAAGTTCAATTCAATTTTATTTATATAGCACCAAAGCACAACAAAGGTCACCTGAGGGCACTTTATACTTTAGGGTAAAGACCCTACAAGGTAAGTTAAACATATTATTATGTCTTACTTTTAATATCTGGTCTTGGTCTACCCAAATTGGAAAGCATACCAATACAGTTTTTGAAATTAAATGCTGAAATAGAAATATTGAATATGGACTGGCCTAAACTGGGCTATGAGACAGTGCTTCAGTTCCTGAAAAATTACGACTGGATTTTCAATTTAAACTAAACAGTGTGCTAGTTAACATGGGTTTGATCAGTTAATGTGAGACAGGTTTAGAAATTATTAATGCAGCTCATCATTTCTGCCTTCTGGTTCTCATTTTAGGCTTCTCTTTTTAAACCATACTTTTATCTTTGCTATAGAAATGGCATATCAGTAACTTTTTAGACCATTCAGTTTTAAAAAAATCATTTAAGGTCTTGAGGGGCTGCTTTCCATTTAGTGTTACCAGCATATTTTACCAAAATATCTCGACAAATAGGAGACTGAATCTGAAAAACCACCTTGACCCTGCTTTAGTAGTGAGCTACAAATTGTGTCTACATAACATAAATATAGACAATGTGCAAGAAACTGTAGTTTTGTTTCAAGTATTTTTCAAACTATTATAAATCATACTGGTGAATTTTGATAGATTATATGAAAGCATGGGCTTCCGTACAAAGGATACATATATTGCTGTGTTCCCTTTTATATTAAAACCTGGTTCCTCTACTGTAAGCTTCTATTAGTGAAAATCTACCATTAATATATAATCTGTAATGCAATATAATATTGACTTGTGTGTTCTTTAATACTTTGTAAAAATTAAATATGTCCCATCCATCAGAAGTGCCCATCTCATTATGGCTGCTTCCAGGAGGATAATAACCAGTGTCAAGAAGCTCAAATGATGTCAAATTGCACTCTTAAACATAACAGTTCAGTTCACTGTACTCAAATGGCCTCTACAGTCACCAGATCTCAATCCAAAAGAGGACCTCTGATCTCTATGGTGGATCAGGTGATCACATTACATATTATGTGATCACCCGATCCATCATTCATTTATTTATATATATATATATATATATATATATATATATATATATATATATATATAATGTATTGTAGAGAGAGAAATGCTCTCTTTAGGGGCCTGCCTCTGGTGTCGACCTCTGAGGTCATCTCTGAGGTCATCCTGTTTTCTCCCTCATTTGTCCAGTATTTCCTCTATCCCTCTTCTGCATATGTCTGAATCATCTCAGCCTTGTCTCTAACTTTCTCTCCATACCATTCAGCATGAGCTGTCCTTCTTGTATACTCATTTCTGTTTCCTGTCCCTCCTCCTGACTCCAGATCCCTGATGTAATCCCACCCTCACCTTGAACACATCCTGCACCACCCTCACATCCTGACTTACCTCATGCAGTACCACAGTTCCTCTCTTAGCATCCCATCATATTCTTTTGCCAGATCCACAAAGACACAGTGCAACTCTTTCTGACCTTCACTATACTTCTGCATCAACACACTCAAAGCAAACATCACATCTGCACTGCTCTTTTTCAGTGAGAAGCCATACTGCTGCTCATGGATCATCACCTCTCTTCTTAACCTACTTTCAACAACTCTTTCTTGGTGTGTCTCAGCTTTATCGCTCTGTAGTTACTACAGCTCTGCATATCACCCTTGGTCTTGAAAACTGGTACCAGTACACTTATTCATTCCTCACTCTCCAAACTTGTGTTAAACAATCTGGTTAAAAAGTCCTTTCTCCTCAACATCTCTATACAACCACATATATGTCATGTGGACCAACTGCCTTTCCTCTCTTCATAGCTGCCTTCACGTCCTCCTTACTTATCCCCTGCGCTTCCTGATTCACTAACTTTCCTCCATCTGTCCTCAGTTTCTGTCTTCATTAATGTCTTCATTAATGAAGACAATGAGAGAATACTTCTATCTTCCATCTTCTCAACACACTCTCTTCACCATCTTTATCCTTAATCACTCTAACCTGCTGCACATCCTTTTCAGCTCAATCTCTGTCTAGCTAATTGACACAAGTACTGTTTCTTCCTTAGTGCCCAGCCTCACATACAACTCAGTATAAGCTTTTTCCTTTTCCACCTCTATCTTTGCAGTAGGCCTGGCCTCCCAGTATTCCTGTCTACTTTCTCCATCTCCCTGACTATCGCACTTTCTCTTAGCTATTCCTTTGAGGAACTACAGGAAAGTGTCCAATCCACCACCAAGTCTCCTTGTCCTCTTTTTCTCTCTCCAAAAAATACACCAAACACCTTCTTTGCCTTTCTCTTACCATTTCAGTTGTATTTTTCCAGTCATCTGGTAACTCTTCCCTTCCACCCAGAGAATGTCTACTCCTCCCTGAACTAACAACTGCACAACATTCTTCCTTCTTCAGCTTCCACCATTTAGTTCTTGTCTCTGCCTTCACTCTCTTCCTCTTCTTGACGTCCAAAGTCATCCTACAGACTAGTGTCCAATGCTGCATGGCTACATTCTCTCCTGACACACCTTGCAGTCTCCTATCTCTTTCACACTGACCCTTCTGTTTAGGATGTAAGCCACCTGTGTACACTTTCTTCCACTCTTCTACGTCACCTTATGTTCCTCCTTCTTCTTGAAGTATGAGTTCACCCCAGCCATTTCCATCTTCCTAATTTTGACCTTCTGCATTTCTCTGCTTAACACCATACCTATCTAACACTCCTCATTATCTCTCTTTCCTTCACCTACATGGCTACTGAAGTCTGCTCCAATCAACACTCTCTACACTTTATCAAACTAACTGCAGAATTCCTCTTTCTCTTCTAACTGACATCCAACCTTCAACCTGGTCTCCTGCACACATAGTAAATCTACCTTCCTTCTCTCATTCATATCAGCCAGCTCTCTCCCTTTGCCAGTCATAGTACCTCCACGCTCCTGCCTGTCCTTCTCTTTGACTCCTAACGCTTCTTTTCCTCTTCCTTTGTCTTCGAATAGTAGCACAGTTTCCATCGGCTCTCTGTTGGCCAATAGCACAGGAGGCAGTAATTGTTAACCCAGGTACCGACTGATCCGATATGGAAATACACCAGATGCCATTCCTGTAACAGCCCTCTCTGTTTATCTGGGCTTCGGAGTACACTCCCAACTCCACCCCCCATACACTATCATTCAAAAATTTGGACACCTTTTGACTTAATGTTTGTTTTTTTACTACTTTCTACATTGTACATACAAACTGAAGACATGAAATATATGAAGCAATATATATGGAATTATATATCAAAGAGATAGCTGATGTATAACGCTAAATGTTTTATATTTTAGATTCCACCCTTTGCTTTGTTGACAACGCTGCAAACCTTTGGCCTTCTCTCAGTGAGCTTCATGATGTAGTCATCTGAAATGGTTTCACCTCACAGGTGTGCCTTGTCAGGGTTCATTTGTGGAATTTCTTTCTGTCTTTATGGGGTTGGGACCACAAGTTGTGTTGTCCAGAAGTCAGGTTGGTGCACAGCTGACAGCCCTATTTGACTACTGTTAAAATTCATATTATGGCAACAACCAATCAGTTAAGTAAAGAGAAACTACAGTCCATCATTACTTTAAAAACTGAAGGTCAGTCAATCTGGAAAAATGCTAAAACTTTGAATGTGTCCCCCAAGTGCAGTCGCACAAAACATCAAGCACTACGACAAAACTGTCTCACATGAGGCCCGCCCCAGGAAAGGAAGAGCAGAGTCCCCTCTGCTGCTGAGGATACATTTATCACCAGAATCACAAGGAATGGACATCTGACCAGTGGACATCTGTGCTTTGGTCTGATGAGTCCAAATTTGAGAACTTTGGTAGTAATCAAATCAAAGAGTGGCTACTTCGAAGAATCTAAATATAAAACAAAATTTGATCATCATTAATGAAACTTTGAAATATCTGGCTTTTCCGTCAGAGCAGATGAAATACATATTTTGCATTAAATTGAATCATTTGGCCTCCAGAAGGGCTCACCCTGAGTCCATTGTCTTACTTCATTGTGAAGTTATGATAAATAGCCTGATAAATAGCCTGATAACATAGCGAGTACTGAGGATGGTTTATGGTGATTTAAATGTGCCTCAAGGATGAGAAGTGCAGATATTGTGCTACACTCTGCTCCCAACTTCACTGATGCCCTGCACCTCCCCCATACCCCAATAGCTGCTGCAGTGGGGAGGGGCAGGCCAGTATTTTCAGCACTTTGGCTGTTCTGAAGGCAAAGAGAGTCCAAACCAGGACTAGCAAGGTGTGCCTAATGCAGTGACCGTTTAGAGTGTGTGTAAAAAATCAAAGAAATATATATATATTTAAAATAGATATGGTAATGGTTCTTAGTTTTTTTGACTACTGATAGCATTAGTCAATTTAGACTGTAGGCTAAATGTTACTTTAGATTAATTTTATTATGCTGTTTCATTATGTGTTTAAACTGTAGTAAAAGCAATGTCAGGCTTCCTTATTTTATATAATGTACAATGTAAATCAGGTTTCAGAGTGAGAGCTGAGAAGTAGGAATACTTTGGCTCTCTGCAATTCCTCTTTAAGATATCATGACCCATCAGTGACCCGCCCTCCCCCCGTGCACCTGCACTGCGCTCTCAAACTTTTGCAGGGCATTGCTTGCATCTCAATCATTCAGTCAACGGACGGAGAAGCTGCATAATTAAACTGGTGATTGCAAGATTTAAATCAAAGTTTCGGCAGGTAAGATTTCACATTTTGTCTTTATGAAAACTGCAAATTTTTTTAAATGAAATGAAACAAAAAAAAGGTATCTTACGTCAGGTTTAATTTTTTCAACTTAAACGATGCATGAAGTTCGTCTCAGTTATAGCAGCTTGCTAGCAAGCAAACTGATAATTACACAACTTCAAATTAAAAGAAAGAAATTCAGCAGCATGGGATATTTTTGGCAAATTTGATGTTTTTGGGGGTGCTGAATCCAAAACTGGTGTCCTTTTCCCTTAATCACGGACATTTATTTAAGGAGGGAGTTTACATTTCAAAAAGCACAACAGCGTTGAAAAATATTAGTAGCTGTGTCCAAATTCATGGGCTGCATCTTCCTGAGGACCCGGCCTTCGCGGTCTACGTTGCCCGTGTCCTCAGGAGTGGGTCGGCCGGAAGTAACGGCTGTGAAATTGGACGGTCTAGTCTTCAGATTAGCGTCGCCGCTGTCTCGGTGGAGTTTAATAAACTCAGCCGTCTGCTCCTGCTATCTAAAATATAACAGGACACTGGCGTAATTCTCGACTGTCTCATACTTCTGTTTAATCTGTTTCTGTTTGACGTTTAGTCAGCTGTGTAAAACCAAGGAGGAACCACCCGGGAGATTAATAAAGTTTTATTTTATCTAATCTAATAACTTTAATCTCAGCTAAACCGATTTACTCGCTAACAAATAAAACACTGAAAAAAACCCCAAACATTAACATTTAGAAGTGATCTAAGTGACTTATATATCATGTTTAACCTCAGTAGCGAAATCTCTATTAATAAGAATAGTGTACACGTATGCCCTAATAAAAAGAAGCAGGTGAGATGTTAGAACGCTTTTATTTTTATTTTAGTGTACACTCAATACAATAGACAGCTGCTGGGTTTTGGGGTTTGTTTAACCTGAGTAGCGAAAAGATCGCGGGGGGGGGGTGAAAACGATGTGCCGGGAGTCCGCTGTTCTCGCCAGCTCTAGTGATCCTCGACCTCGCTGTCTGCTATGGAGCTGGCGGGTCACAGACGTCTCCGAAAATGTCGGAGCACGTTTGGAAATATATGGTATGTGCAGGTCATAGTTTGTACATCAGGTTCACCTGCATGAGAGCTCACTGTTAAGCAAAATGTAGCCTTATTGAGGTGAGCTTCAGTAAATAAATGAAAAGGAAAAAGGAGGTGGAAATGGTGGAAAGCACAGTGTAGTCCAGTTATATGTTAGAGATGGGTAATGGGCTGCATTAAATGAACTGCTTTTCCTGCTTGCTGAAGACTAAGAAAAATGTTGGTGCAGTTGTGCTGTATCACCTCTAAGCCGTTATTACGTAAATGTAACTGAGAAGTAACTTTGGATTTTGTCTTTGGTATTAGGTTGAAAAAGCCATGGCAGCAAGCCAAACACAGGTATGTGCCTTTTTTATCAAATATTTGAACAAGTAGTCTTTAATAATTGTTACTGAATCGTATGCAGGAATGTTAAAGTCAAACAGCATATTTTTTATCTTTTTTTAAACATGATGAACACATCATCTGGTTGGAAGCAGGTTAGATTCAGAGTTTCTGTTTAAAATAGACTGGAAGCCCCCGTTTTCACTGATTCTTTTATTTACAGCATATTTTAAGTGTGATATAGATTCTCTGCTGTGGGAATACGTTTTAGATGTGCCACCTTTTAAGCGTCACCTTTCTAAACTCGAGCACTACAGTTAACAGGTGAATTCTTATGTTTCAGTACAGCTAGCAAACAATGACAAAGCACTTCGAGACTAAAAGTGAAAGTTGACAGTCTTAACTTGGTTTTTAACATAAACTCATTGCTGCAGCCAGGGTTACAAAGTGATCCCTCTTAGACTTCCTTTTATTTTTAGTTATTCTTTCTGTCCCTAGTTAGCTAACATAAACTAATGTAGGGTAGAACTGTTATCAGCATCCATCCAACCAACCAACCCAGTGACCTCATAGTCTGAACTCAGCCAAGATGGAAATAAACATGCTGTAAACGCTTGTTTTTTTATAACGAGCTTCACTGACAGTGTTCAATCGGAGATTTTTTTTTTTTAAGAGTGGGCCTCCATAGTGTCATCTAGCCTTAATGTATGTAGTGTTTCAGGTCAGCTTTAACCTTGAACATTGGATATGTATCCAGAAATGTGATGTCTTTTCAAATACATTTCTAGATGTTATTTCTATCTCAAACAGTATTTGAGTGTATCTTCTTAGCAGCTTTTCTTATACAATAACTTTGTGGAATGAAAACAAAAAGTCATGTTTGTTATATGCCACTAGTTTGACTTAAAAAAAAAAAAGTAGTTTACATGCAATAAAGGGTGTCAGCATACGGTAGTAATCAGTCTCATTTTAGTTCATTATTCTTTTACAGCCTCATGTCTATAAAAGAAGGGATGCAGTGTAGAATGTAAATCAAAACTGAATTCAATGTTTTTCAAATCTCATAAACCCACATTTTATTAACAGTAAGACATGTAAAACATTTCAATTGAAACTGAGAAATTGTTCCATTTTAAGAAAATTATGGGATCATTTTGAATGTGATGGTAGTACCATGTCTCAGAAAAGTTAAGACAGGGCCTTGTTTCCACTGTGAATTTTCTCTTTTCGTTTTTACAACATTGTAAACATCGGGGATCTGAGGAGACCAGTTGCTGGACTTTAAGGAGAGCAATGTTGTCACATTCTTGTCTGACGTAAGATTTTACCTGCTTAACAGCCCTGGGCCGCCTTTGTCGCATTTTTCGTTTCATGATGCTCCAAATGTTATGAGTAGGTGAACGGTTTTGACTGCAGGCTGGTTATTTCAGCACTCAGAGTATTGGAGTATGACACAATGCCATTATAATACATGCACTATGCGATTTACAATTGTTTTCCTGAAATATCCAAGGCCTTCCCTGAAAAAGATGATGTTTAGATTAGAGATGGACCGATCCGATGTTACGTATCGTATCGGTCCGATACTGATGTAAATTACTGGATCGGATATCGGAGAGAAATAAAAAATGTAATCCGATCCATTAAATATCAAAAAAGCATCTCACAAAACTTGCGACACGGCGTAACTCAGCTCATAACTGTAGCACGTCGGAGCAGTGTGCGTCACGTGATAGAGCGGCTGTGTCCGGCATTTCATCTCCGAGGAAGTGATCCCAGAGAGAAGTAAAGCAGTGTTTAAGTTCATCTCTGAATGTTTGTAAAGCATTCCCACATTAAGCTTAACAACCGATATATGGAGCGACTGCCTCTCTCTCTCTCCTGCTGCTACTTCAATCATGAAACTGATCAATGATCAGCTGATTGGCTTTTCTGTGGCAAGTCCGTCTCTCTTGTTTGTTTTTGGCCCACTTTGCACCAGAAAGAGGAAACCAGCGGCTGAATAACAGAAGCACGTTTAAGCTTGATAATCTGTTGTTAGAATTTATTTAATATTACTTTCTAGACCAGGATTCTTTTCTACGTAGCTGACGCTGGTAACTGTGCAGGGGCGAATCTAGCAAAGTTTAGCCAGGGGGTCCGATAGGGCATGAACAGGGAAAAGGGGGCACAAAGACATACTTTTCTTTCTTATTCTCATTTAAAATGTCGAGCTTTTAATAAATATCTGAATCTTACACCCAAAGTTTTAATCTGATGTAAAATATATAGAAGTCCATTACTTTATAACTAACAATAACTATTAAGTTATATAGTTATAGTTATTAAGTAACTATTAAGTCTAATATACCCTAGTAAGCTATAGTACTTTTTCCTTTGGGAACCATCTGTGCAGTCTGCAATTCTGTTGAAGAAAGATGTTGAATCTATTTAATTATTCTTGAAAAATAATTTATTTCTGTGCATTTTATTTCACACTGCATCAAATTAAAGTTGATTACATCGATTAAGCATCATGAGGTGGAGGGTGAGGGGTGGTTCTCTAATATATATATATATATATATAAATATAAATATATATATATATATATATATATATATATATATATATATAATATTTTTTTTTTTTTTTTTTTTTTTGCTCCTGTTAGTTAGGTTGCTTAATATTTCTGCTAAGTACTCTTTAAAATACCAGAATAGGGAGGATGGTGCAGGTTTAACTTTATTAGATTGATCAGTTTTGCTGAACTATGAAATATTTTGTATTTTTTACGTACAGGTATAACAGAATAGCTTTAGTGTTGTTGTTTATTTAAACTTGAGTATGAACTTATACAAAATGCAGCAAGATATTTAAAAAAAAAACGTTTTATTGATTAAAAAACACTATCTGATTCATACTGGTATTGGCAGATATCCAAATTTATGATATCGTTATCAGACATAAAAAGTGGTATCGTGCCATCTCTAGTTTAGATGGGAGCATATGTTGCTCTATAACCTGTATTTTCTTTCGGCACTAACGATGCGTTTCCACATTTGTATGCTACTAGCTCCATAGGCACTAATGCACCCCCATACACTAAGATGTGGGCTTTGAAAAACATTGCGTTCTATTTTAACTTGCATTTTACACAGCGTCTCAACTTTTGGAAGATAGTTTTACAGCTTTATTACATAACTCTATCCTTATAATTGACTTCTTCTCATGATGATTATTCTCTTTACCTATTCAGGAGGAGAGTGATTGCTCTGAGCTGGATTTCTCCATTTGTTCAGGCTCTGAATACGTGCCAAGTCAAATTTCAGACTTAAGTGATGAGGACAACCACAGTCTACAAAGTAAGACACTAAAGATCACTGATGTTTCTAGCGACAGTGATAATGAAGAACTGAGAAACATGACTCTTAAAAAGACACCCAGAACATATGGGAAAAGAAAGAGAAATTATCATAAGGCACAAGAGAAGGCTAACGGACTAAACGGAAATCAGAAGTGACTGTAAAAACATGTACAAAAAGGGAGGACAACAAACGAGTATGGGACAAAAAACATTATTGTCTTTACTGTGGGAAGTCCCAAGCAAAAATATCGAGACACCTGGAGAGGAATCACATAGAGATAAGTGATGTGGCATATGCCTTTAGCTACCCTGTTGGTTCCAAAGAAAGGAAGGATCTTCTAGAACAACTTCGCAATAAAGGTGACTTTAAGCACAACACCAAAGTGATACAAAAAGGCAGAGGACAAGTCGTAACATGGAAGCAGCCATCTAATAAAACCATAGCAGGAGAATATTTACCTTGCCCTTATTGCTTTGCAATGTATATCAAAAAGACATTATGGAAACATGCGCTGTCATGCAAAAGTAAAAAACTGTGTGCGTCAAAACTAGACATCCTAGAGTACAGGGTTACGCTGCACGCCTGCTTCCAATAAAACATTCATCTAAAGGATGTCAGACTATTATTGACAACATGCGACAAGATCAAGTGTCCTTTCACATCAGGAGTGATTCTCTGATTTGCAAATATGGAGAATCGCTATATGCAAGACATGGCCGTGTGAAGTCTAAGCACCAATATATTGCGCAAAGGATGAGGGAGCTTGGCCGTCTCATATTAGCTGCAAAAAATATGGACAGGACAGTGAATGTACTTGAAGATTTGTGCAAACCATCAAAATTCCAGTTTGTTGTCAGTGTTGCCAAGCATCTTGCAAACTTTAGTCCAGGCAAAAATGAATATGGCAAACCGTCAACAGCAGTCAAAATTGGATTTTGTCTTAAAGGCGCAGTCGAGGTACTGATTGGACAGACTCTTATGAATGATGATGACTATGCAGAGAAGAAGGCCAAAAATTCTTGGAACTTCTGGACAAAAACTGGAGGAACAGTGTATCTGTCAGTGCTCACCAAACAATACAAGAAAAGAGGTGGAATAAACCGGATGACATTCCCCTCACCAAAAATGTGATTGCTCTGAGGGACCATCTCCGTACCGTGGAAGGTGAAGCAAGAGAGAGTCTAATGCAGAACATGGATTTGGCAGCATACAAGGCACTGAATGAGACTGTTTTGGCACAGGTTATTGTCTTTAACAAGCGACGTGAAGGGGAAGCATCACGCTTGACTCTTCAGACCTACAAGAACGTAAAAACAAGTCCCATTAATGAAGACATTTACGAAACCTTGTCACCATTAGAAAAAGAGCTAAGCAAGCTATTAACCCGCATTGAAATCAGGGGGAAGAGAGGCAGGAAAGTGCCAGTTTTTTTGAGCGACAGAATGAAGGAGTCAATCGATTTGTTGGTGAAAAACAGAGAAGCAGCTGGTGTACCTGCTGAAAACCCCTATCTCTTTGCTAGACCTGGTGGGATGACACACATACGTGGATGTGACTGCCTACGAAAATATGCAAACCAAAGCAAAGCAGAAAACCCTGAGCTTCTGAGGTCAACTAAATTAAGAAAACAAGTTGCCACACTTTGCCAACTCCTCGATCTTAATGATCAAGAGCTCGAGCAAGTTGCAAGATTCATGGGACATGACATCAGAGTTCACCAGGACTTTTACAGACAGACAGACAAAACCTTTCAAATTGCCAAGATAAGCAAGCTTCTGTTTGCAATGGAGGGAGGCGCTGGCACCTTAAGGGGCAAGAACCTCAGCACCCTGGAGGTTTCTGTTGCTGGTATGTATGATAGAGTATTTCTTTTTTTTCCACTGTCCTGCTATATTGAATTGCAAATGGTATTGTGTGGTCAAATAGTTTTACACTTGACTAATCCATAACATGAGGCTTATAACACCAAATCTGTCTCTCGCTCTCCCTCCCTCTGTCTTTCACTCACGCAGACACACACACACCACCACCACCATCAACTTTGCTAAAATGTTAATGAAAAACATTGACCAGGCAGCTGCAATTGAGCAGCAACGTCCATCCAACTCTTTTCACGGTTGTTGTGGTCGTGATAATTTTGTGAGGCCACATTGAAAAGGCTGAGGTGAGCTTGCTAAAGTTCTGCAAGTTGTGCCTCCATCGCTTGTGTCCAGATCACACGCTGCACTGCTGTGCTGCTCTGTCTTTATCACTTCCGTTTCTGTGTTTGTGCGTGCGCAGTGTGAGAGGCTGTGTTGACACCCTCACGAGGGGCGACAGGAATTCAAATAAGTTTGATTTTCTTGCAACCATCCGACTCTTGATTGGGAGCTGGTTGTGAGGTGTTAATTGCTTCTCGTTACCCCATGTATAGTGGACGATGACACACGATTAAGGCGAAACTTGGGCCAATCCCCAAAATGGACACATGACTGAAAATCGGCTCAAAATTGCCCAAAAATTGCACAGTATATACCCAACTTTAGAATGTTGGTGGTTAGCACTGTTCTCTAATCAAAATTTTGGACTACCAATTACTAATATTTCATTATCTTTTATAGGTGTAATTTCCCCAGCTCCCAGCCTCCAGCTAGTCAAAGAGACCCAGGCAGACTGAAGGAACAAGACACAGAGGTGGATGAAAGTAGGTTTTAATATAGAGAAAATTGTTGCAAGTAACATTTGTTTGCAGCCCTATTTTACAGCCTGTGTCTACGTGGTAGACCTGTGCAATCTTCTGCAGTCCAATAACACGGTCATGTCATAACATCTTATTTTACCTATAACCGTGAATACATGAGCTCAGTTAAGACAATAAAGACCATGAATTGACAATGAATAGGACTGATTATATTGATGGTGTTCCTGTTTTGTCCTTTCTGTTTACAGTACAACAGCAGAACACATTTTTGGTTTCCAATGTATCTTTTCATAAATGAAAACATTATGTTAGGTTGAAATGGTGAGCAGATATTCAAATCACAAATATATTTACATTTATTGCATTTATTTGTGCCACGGATAGTTTGATCCACTGAGATTTTTATTTTTGATGTAGTGTATAACTTGTGGTCACAAGCACCATCTATATAATCAAGCAACAGTTTTGGACAGAAATTCAGCATCATGGCAGTGGTATGTTTAGAATAAATCTTGGCTTGATCATTTCAGTAAATGTGTTACTCCTAAACAAATCTGTAAATGCTTATTAAACATGTTTCCCACTTGCTCTGTGACCTTAAGGTTGCATTTAGTTTTTGGCTTCATGAGACGATTAGCTTCCAGGTGAAAAGGGATGTTACTTTGAATCCCTGTTTGTACAAACAGCTTTTCCAGTTCAGGAGAGAACATGTAGAATTCCTTACTAGAGGACCTCAGTCTGAATCCTGACTGGCACATCTTAAATTTAAATGGGCACTGGTTTTAAAATACAATTAGTCTTCTAGTCATGATCTACTGCTTGTTGTTTTTTGGCACATTGTTAGTGTTGTGTATTTTAAAGCTCATGACAATGGAAATTAGCTTAGGTTATACATTTTACAGTAATTTCATTTTAAAGACTTCTGTCTTTATACAAATTTCCACATAAAATTGCATCATTTCAATATTTCTTACATTGCAGACAATAATGTGGTCTTCGCAAGCAGTGATGATGGCTGTTCTGATAGTGGTGGTAAGTGTTACCTGCTCACTAGTAGAGCCGTTGGTATACTGTCTCATGAATAAGCTGCATTTATGATAAACTGCCTAGAGTTATGTATGTGACATTGACTAATATAAGACACTGATGTTAGCCTGTTAGCTCTAGTTCCTAATGGTTAAAAGGAAATGGGTGGCATGTTATAGCCAAATAAACACACTGTTGGCCAACTTCAGTGCTCAGTAATCTATACAAAAGATAACACTTGATCATGTACACTCTCTCTATAGTGAGCTCCTTTATTACAGCAAGAAATAGACTGAAAAACACATGAAATCTGCGAGTTTATCACCACAACCCAGATTCTAATTTTTGTTACATTTGTCAAATGTATTTTATACAAATGCCACCTTGTAATGGCTGTGCAGTGGGGGGTTTTTCCTTTTGCTTTTTAATTTATCCTAAATAAAAGAATAGTAATTACCATTTACATACTCTTGATGGCTAATATTTGACATCTGGTGTCAGTCACAGGTGAAAGTCCCATAGCAGCTACTCAGAGTGATCCTCAGGGAAATGAGGAGGAGGAGGAGAAAGGAGGAGGCAGTGAGATGGATGAAGGTCAGATTTTCCAGATTTATTCAATAGAAAGGAAAAAAATCAGTGAATTAGGACGATGTGGCACATTAATTTATTTATTTATTTTTTTTTTTAAAGACGATAGTTCTCAGCATTTCGCAGATGTAAATGGTGAGTTTAAGCATTTGTCTGAAATGTAGTAACACTGTTGTGTATTCTAATTAAATTCTATTCAAGTAAAATCTGCATTGTACAATAACAGCTACCATTTTTTTTTATCTGTTTCTGTTTTAGAAGAGACCAAAGAAGTAACACTCGCCGTGAGGAAAAGGGGAAAAACCAAAGTGGCCAAAGCAAAGGGTGAGATGTTTTCAGCTTTAAATGTATTTGATATTTTCTGTTTGCAGTATATGAATCAGGTTGTAGACATGAATTTATTTCCTTATAGTCTTGCTCTTTGTGGCAGAATATATGCCTACACAAACACAAAACTCTTGATAATATTGATCCAGAATTATTTTGTTGGTAATTAGAAAAATTATTGAAAATGTTTAAGTATTGCTTTACAGTAAGTTGAAGAGGAGAATTCAGAGGGGGTGGAGATGGGTGTCAGGGGTGATGTGTTATAAAAGGAAAGCAGCAAGAGGGGAAAGAAAGGTTTACAAAATGGTAGTGAGGAAAGCTATGACGATTTTCATTGGAATGACCAGGATGGACAGGATTAGAAATGACTACATCATAGGGACAGCTCAGGTCAGAGGTTTGGAGACAAAGAGAGACAAGGCTGAGATGGTTTGGACATGTGCAGAGGAGGCTGCCAAGGGATGTTGATGATGGAGCTGCCAGGCAGGACGAGAAGAGGAAGACCTCAGAGGAGGTTCATGGATGTGAAGGAGGACAGGCAGAAGGTTGGTGTGACAGAGGAGGATGCTGGTATAGGAGGAGGTTGAGGAGATGATCCGCTGTGATGACCCCTAAAGAGTTCAGCTGAAAGAATGATTGCTTCACTTTTATTGTTACATTTATGATTTGTTAGGCTACCTATTCTGGTGAGTGACTAGTTTAACCTGCTGTGTTGCGTGAGTTCACACTTTGCAAGAACAGCACTACAAAACACATGGCAGGGTTCTGCAGGTCATTTCACAAGTCTGGAATTAAAAAAAAAAATGCAGGCTGAAAATGTCTTGTTATATTATCATAGAAAATACCTGTTTAAGGTCCTATGATTTACCAATTAAAGACAACTACTTTATCTCAATGTTATTTTTTTTTTACAATGCGTATTTTAGTTTCCACCAATTACACACACAGATGTTGTGTTTTAAAATCAAAATTTGTAAAGTGAACTAGATTGACAGTATGGACCATCATTTTCAGTGAGAGGTTTGTGAAAAGACAGCAAGAAACGGCAAGTACAAGCAACAAAGCTCATCGAGTAGACTACATTAGGCTTCAAACTTTCCTTTTTGCTAAAGCATATATTTCAGGCTGGACCAGGTGACCCTGAATCCTCCCTTAGTTATGCTGCAGTCTGTTTTAATATCTTCATATTTGCCTAATACTATACTTTTATCTTTTGAAAAATCAGCTTCTGTTTCCAGTACGCTTTTCAGTAATCATTAGTGAACAGATGCTCACAATGCCACCCCTTTCATGCGACAATGCAGGTTAAGCTTTTTGTGACCACTTATCCAGATCGCCACTTTCAGGTTAAGTGAATCCAGATTATGGAAAGATAGCCTTGATATGTTGAATGTGCTTTGTAGTACAGGCCTTATGACTAATGATAGACAAAACGTAATTATGCTCTTTGGTATTGTATCTGTGCGCCAGTCGCAAAACTGTGACAGTTTGTCAAATAAAACGCATAAATTCAGATAAAATGAAAAGATCATGTCAATCAGTTATGTTTGGTTCTGAATCATGATCTAGGTAATTTGTTACATTGTCAAGGATATTAGCAATTGTATTTCATAATAAAAAAAAAAATTGACTTAAAATATGTGATGTCACTTAACTAGATTAGGACTACTACCAACAGCACAGGTTTTTTTTATTACTAGTACATCAGAAATATTTGCCTTATTTAAAACAATAGCAAATTATTAAAGTCTGACAGTTTTTTTTTTACAAGAATATTGTTATGATGAATGATTTTAACAGGAATAATAACTAGTTATCATCTTATTTTAAAAGGCTAGATGCAACATGTACCTTTGAAAACAAAATGTATAAAAGTAAATTGGCTGCTGTTTCACTCTGTAGGTATATTACTCAATAACTGATCTCATGTTTCTGTGAACTCAAAATACTTAATTTAAAAGTGCTTACTACATATCTTGGGTACAAAATGTTGAGTAAATTGTTGAACCTACAGTTTGGTTTGGCATTTTCTGTAAATATACACAAGCAGAACCCCATTTCAAAAACAAAACAAAAACAAAAAAACTACGGTTACATACATGTTGTAAAGTTAACAGTCCATGTTGTCTTTTGTGTTATTTGTAGAGATCCCCCGTGCGAAGGTCAAGAAGCCATGGAGTGAAGCAGAGAAGACGGCAGTGCAAAGACGGCTGGGAAAATTTGTCGCAGAGCGTAAAGTTCCAAAAAAGAACACTGCATGAAATGCTTAGAAGCGGAAAAAGACCTAGCTAATCGCTCATGGAAAGATGTTAAAAACTTTGTGTACAACACGATTGTCACTCTGAATCGAAGGTCTGCTTGTAAAAAACTCTTCTAAAATAAGTTTACCTTGATAATGTTAAGACATTATTTAAGATTTAATTTTGTCTTCTCATGCTTGGTTTGTGACTGACTTGACGGCTTTGGTAGCAACTGCGAGTCTGATTGTAATTTGATTGGCTTTATGTTTTGGAGTGGTGAACTGTGAGGGCGATGAAAATACCTTTACCTGGTGTCTTTTGAGGTAACCCGTTTTGGATTTTAAGTTCTAGGTTTTTGCCCAGGATGTTTTTGGTTCATTTATTTTATAATCTGTTAAAGTACATTAGGCATCTAAGTTGTTCACCTTCTTAATGGCTTAATGGTTAGAACACATCCTAAAGTGTCCACCTTTGCTCAGTGCTGATGTTCATTGGCGAAAAGTTTAATTTTGGTTTTAATTATGTAGGAAGCAGGAAGGTCATACTGGTACAGTTGTAGCCATCCTAAGCTTTACTGATTTTTCTTTTTGGCAAAAGTCAAAACAAACTGATCAAAGTTATTGATCACTATTTTAGTTGTAAGTCATTAGACTTAATAGTTGTCTTCATTGTTATAATAGCAATTATTCCTCTGGAAGGATGTTACATTGTGAAATAAACTGAATTTGCTCTTGTTGCAGCATTGTGGGAATTTCCTTGGTAATTATTAATAAAATCTACAGCGGTATTTGAAATGTAATACTACCTTTTTTGTTATGTAGGGTTGTATTGATAGATTATCAGAACTTTTTAGTTATTCTATTTATGTATAAAGTTGAGACTGTTTAACTTTAACATTATTTGGTTGCACTAAAATAGAAAATGTCAAGGAGTAAATGCAAACAGAAAAAAACATATAGACAGAAACGAACACAAAAGCACCCCCTGGTGGAAAATCACCTGAATAGCACTCAATGACAAGGTCCTCATTCTGATAGTAGAATGAGATTTTTTTTTACTTGAGTGTTTTAAGATTTTGAGGTGATTTTTGGTGTCAGAGAGCCACCCAGTGTTCAAAAGTGGCAAAGGTTTGTCTGCAAGTGTAGCAGAAATGGTGGTCCTCACTTTGATAGTGCACTTACCCGGTCCTCAGTCGTTATGCAAGACAGGAATGTGTGTGTGTGTGTGTGTGTGTGTGTGTGTGTGTCTGCAGACAGAAACAAATGCTTTGCTCATTCATTGCACATAATTTTCCCTCAGGCCCTCCGTCAATAAAAAGAGCATAAGGTGAGGGACATGGATATATTTGGTGTGCGTGTCATCTGAGTGATGTTAGCTGGTTAGCTACGTATACATCCAGGGTACGTATACCTCCGCCTCTCTATATTTCCTCCAGTTCCTCCTCTTCTTCACAGGAGCACGTGCACTCACGTATGTTTGGACAGATTGATCAAAGAGTGGAGGATAAGTGACGATCTGCCGGGCTCCGTGAGGTTTTTTTACTGCCTTCCATGAGCTGGAATCATATACGACCTTCAGGAAGCTGAATCCTGTCAACATAAAATACACTTTTAACATTGTAGGATATGTTTATGTGATAAAATACATGCTTCAACTCATAAAAGAGAACTGTAAACATTTATTTGAGAGAAGATGATGATGTTTTCATCTCAGTGATGAGTCTAGACTGTAAAACGTGTTTTGCTTGGTCATCAGGTGCAGTTGGCATCTCTGTTCGCTTCTCTTCTTTCACTTCCAAATGTACTCATTTAACAGTGGATGTTATGGTACCTGCTGACACAGCGTTCTTTCACATTTAGGATAGAGTATCAAGTAGAAACACTCCTACACGCACGCACACACACAGACTAGATTGTGTGTCACTCTAATGCATTCTCCTCTGCTGTACATCAGTGCAGCTTTTTAGCATAGTCTCTCCAGTGTCTCCGGTAAGCTGATAAATGACTGACTAATGACTGCATTTAGTGCGCTGGGGATTTGTTTTCTGTTAGAGGTGGACACTGAAGATTTCATCATTACACAAATATCCAGAGAGTTACTCCGACCACTTACGGTGTTACCGCAGATCTTTAATTGGCTCGGTTTTTTTAGGGTTTGCTTAAATCTAATTTGTTCGTCACATCAGATCTTTAGCAGAGACTGTCAGCTGGATCTGCTCAGACTTGTACATGAGACATACAGTACGGTGCAAAAGTCTTGAGCCACCCTTCAGTTTTTGAAGCCAAACTTTGTAAGCTTTTCTTTTAGATGTGGCTTATTTTTCTCTCATTTTCAGTCCAGTCCTTGTACCTGACCATGTTCAGTTTAAGCCACTTAACACTGACCTGCAAGTTGTTCAACCATAACAAGGCTCCTAACTGAGGGATGAACAGACAACTCAGCAAATTACCAGTTTTAAATTAAACCTTTAGGCAGCCGAAAACATAGAATTTGTTCTCATTTCTTTAGCTGACTCTATGAAAGATGTCAGAGAGCTGTTAACAGTAAACTCAACATCTTTCAGCATGGTGTGCAGTGTGTTTAAAAAAAGAACTGAAGAAACTGGACAAATGTTGGACAAATGAAGAGGTGACAGGCCTAAAAGCTGTCTGCAGCTGAAAGGCACATCCTTAAGAATTAGTAAAAACACAAAAAGACGTGAGATGGAGCTGAGAGATGCATCTGGACCTTGAGGTAATCCTATAAATGATTATCAAAAAATGATCTCAGTGGAAGGAGACTGTCAAGGCCTTACTGAGTGACAAAAGAGAGAGAGGTGCAGCGGTGGAGGCTCTGTCATGGCTCGAGCTACGTTTTTGTCAGTTGTGTTGACGATCTTGTTAAAACTGATGAATTACCAGCACAGAAAAGTACTACCAAATTTTAATCCACCATGTAATACTCGCTGGAAAGCATCTGCCATGATCCCAAACACACCTGCCCGTGCTGTGAAAGCACACCTGGATAGAAACACACCTCAGCATCAGTGAAGCAGCGTGGGTCATCCTACAGAGAACAGAACAAAAGGCGGAAACAGAAGGAGCACGAGTGGAGAGAGTTCAGGCTATGTAAAGAATAAAGGTGGTCATACCAAATATTGGCAGCACATTCTGTTTTTTGCCTTTTATATCTTATTTTCATGTATGTTTACATGAGTAAATTAGGAAAATTTCAGAAAGAATTCAGAAGAATTTATTGATTCCATGTACAGCATCGGTTTATTTCCATTGATAACAAGACCGACCAGAATAACATCTCATTGTGCAACTCTATTAGATAATATATTTACAAATATAATAGAAGGAAAGATAAAAAGTGGGCTGTTAATCAATGATATAAGTGACCATTTACCAGTCTTTGCATCTTATAAATGCCATTATAAAGTGAACAACGATGGACATAAGATTATTTACAAAAGAATAAGAACAGAGAAGACCTTAAATTGTCTTAGAAATGAACTTTTAAAGCAAGATTGGAATATTGTGTATGAACAAACAGAAGTTAATAAAGCTTACGAAGGATTTTTAAGAACATTTAACACATTACTTGATAAAAACTGCCCAGTAATTGAAATCAATAGGAAACACAATTATGCAGGAAGACCATGGATGACAAAAGGACTACAAAATGCCAGCAAAAAAAAGAATACCTTATATCGAGAATTCATAAAAAAGAGAACAATAGAAACTGAAATGAAGTATAAAACTTACAAAAATAAATTAACTAATATAATGAGATCCTGTAAAAGAGAGTATTAAATTAAAAGGTTAGAACACAATAAAGATAACACAAGAGATATATGGAATGTATTAAACAGAACAATCAAAAATGAATCAAGGAATAATGATTACCCTGGGTACTTTATAGAAGGGACAAGAAGTAGTAATAACATGGAGGAGATAGTAAATGGCTTTAATGAATTCTTCGTAAACATAGGGCCAAAACTGGCAGAAGAAATAAAGGTTGATGGAATAGAAAGGGACACTGGTGAAAATATTGAAAGCTCAATGTTTTTAAGAGCAGTGGAAGAGAAAGAGATTTATGACATAGTTAGAGGACTTAAGAACAAAACCAGTACAGACTGGAATGATATTGATATGGTAACGGTAAAGACAGTTATTGATGGTATCGTAAAACCATTAAAATATATATTCAACTTGTCGTTTCAAAAAGGAGTTTTTCCACAAAAAATGAAAGTTGCTAAAGTTATTCCCATTTACAAAACCGGTGAAAGACATCATTTTACAAACTATAGACCAGTGTCAATACTCTCCCAGTTCTCTAAGATACTGGAAAAACTCTTCATAAAAAGATTTGACAGTTTTGTGGAAAAATATGAATTAATGACAGATAGTCAGTATGGGTTCAGAAACAACAGATCAACAGCTTTGGCACTGATAGATTTAATGGAAAAGATAACGGAATGTATGGATAATAAGAGGTATGCGCTCGGAGTTTTCTTAGATCTAAAGAAGGCGTTTGATACTGTTAATCATGAAATTCTATTAAAAAAACTGGAAAAGTACGGGTTTAGGGGAGTGGTTTTGGAATGGTTAAAAAGCTATGTAGGGAATAGGCAACAATATGTACAAATAAATGAATATAAATCTAATTTGATGGATATAGCTTGTGGAGTACCTCAAGGTTCAGTACTGGGTCCAAAAATGTTTATTATGTACTTAAATGATATCTGCAGAGTATCGGAGATTTTAAAGTTGGTAATATTTGCAGATGACATAAATATACTGTGTTCAGGTGTGGAGTTGCCACAGGTTTTGGAAATGATCACACAGGAATTAACGATATTAAAGAAGTGGTTTGATATAAATAAATTATCATTGAATCTCGATAAAACCAAATTTATGTTGTTTGGAAACCAAAAGAAAAACATCGAAGTAGAAATATGTGTTGACAATGTATATTTAGAAAGAGTAAATGAAATAAAATTTCTTGGG